AAGGAACACTTTTTGGCAAAAAATATATGTCTGGAGATTTTTGTATGATCGGAAAGAAATGCAAGAAAAGGAGGGAGGGAAGAAGGAGAAGGATGGGAAAGAGAATGTTTATCCAGTCCCCAACCCAGTTACATTTTCTCACAAATTTACATTGGCGAATCTGGGGGGGGGGGTTGATGGGTCCTGACCCTTCCCTTGGGCAAAAAAAAAAAGGAAAAAAAAGAATTCTCGACCTACCTTTTCAGGACCCGTGAGTTGATTTTTTTTTTTTTTTTTTTTTTTTTTTTTTTGTACATTAAGAAAATTAGAATTTTGGAGAACATAAAAGTCATTAAAACACACTTCAAATGTCAGGAAAGCTCATTTCCCGCCATCTAGGAATCAAAATCAGGGGAGAACCCCCAGACCACCCTTTCTTTTAGGGATTTATCGATCCATGGAAAAAGAATACGCATGCAACTACTCATTTGTTTATGTAGGCTATGTATACACACATAAAATAAAAAATGAGAAAAATTTCCTGACCGTTTTCAAGAGAAAACTTAAAAAGTCATTTAAAAGACATTTCAGAAGTCAGGATAGCTCATTTGCCGCCACCTAGGTATCAAAATTTTCCCGGGGAAGAACCATGGGACCCCCCTTTCATTTTGGGATTTAACGATTCATGTCAAAAGACTACGTATGCAATTACTAAATTTTTTATGTATGTATACGCACATAAGGCATAATTTACTGTAATACGAATGAGAAAAATTTACTGACCGTTTTTCAAGAGCGGAAACCTTGAATTTTGAGAACTTAAAAAGTCATTAAAAGGCACTTTAGAAGTAAGGATTTTCTCATTTCCCGCCATTTTAAATCAACATATTTTCCCTGGGGAAACAGAATCCCCCTTTTTCATTAGGGTTCATTGATTCATGGAATCGTTTTGAAGAGGAGAAAACCTTGAATTTCAAGAATTTAAAAGTCATTAAAAGACATCTCAGAAGTCAGGAAAGCTCATTTCCCGCCATTTAGGCGTCAAAATTTTCCTGGGGGAAGAACCACAGGACCCCCTTTCTTTTTGGGATTTAACGATTCATGTCAAAAGACTACATATGCAATTACTCAACATAAGGCATATTTACTGTAAATAAAAAAAAATTCATTATAATAATTTTTAAGAGGGGAAAACCTTGAATTTTGAAGAAAAAAAAAGACACTTCAGAAGTCGGGAAAACTCATTTCCCGCCTTCTATGAATCAAAATTTTCCCGGGGGAGAACCCGGACACCCCCCACCCAACTTTTTTTTTTGATTTATCAATTCATAGAAAAACATTTGTATGCAACTACTCATTTTATTTTTTTTTATGTATGTATACACACATAGAGCCTAGTTACTGTAATAACAATGGCAAAAAATTTACCTGACCATTTTCAAGAGGGGAAAAATTGAATTTTGAAGAACTTAAAAATAATTTAGACACCACGTCGGAAAGGCTCATTTCCCGCCATCTAGGAATCAAATTTTTTTTGGGGGGGGGGGGGAATTATCGATTCATAGAAAAAAATTTGTATGCAACTACTCATGTTTTTTTTTTTTTTTTTAAATGTATGTATACACACATAACAGGCCTATTTACTGTAATAAGAATGAGAAAGTTGACCTGACTATTTTCAAGAGGGGGAAACCTGACTTCAATACTTAAACAATTAGACAAAGATAAGTGCCCAACTGGGCTTGCATATTCAGTTATTGGTCTTACAATAAGTTAAATATTTTTTTACCAATATAGACTCCTATTCCAAACTTTTTCAAACAAGTGAGCATGTACAGACGTTTACTTTCAATAGCAATCATTTCACGAATGTGAACATCCCACTTTAAGCTTTCAGTTTACACTCTCAATCTCAATATAAGGCTAATTGTTAATTTCTCATTATCTGGTTTAATTTTACTAAATGAAATATCCATTTGCTTATATTTTTGGGGGTGCAATATTGCATCCTTTTCGATAAACTTCAGCCAGAGTCAATTCATCGACATATTTCCAGAGATTGCTACATTCAGTTAGCATGTCATGCGACTTGGCCCCATAAAATTACGGGGCCAAGTTTTGTGCCCCTGAGGCACGCCGCATGTTATTTGTTGCTAATCTGACAGCCCATTATCTTATAAAACGCTTCCGTCCACATAGTCCTTCTTCTGTATATATCATCAAATGAACTTTTAAACAGTGATTCCTTTTAAATTTCTTTCCACATTGTTCACATTCATATAGTCTTTCTCCTGTATGCAGCATCAAATGAACTTTTAAACAGCAATTCGTTTTAAATTTCTTTCCAGTGTAAGCATTCACATGGTCACTCCTGCATGCATCATTAAATTAAGTTTGAAATTACTATTGCTTATAAACAATGTCTTGTCACTGTGTTTACATTCAGTCTTTCCCCTTTATGTATCATCAAATGTTCTTTTAAATTGTGATTCCGTCTAAATTTTTTTCCACAGTGTTCACATTCATATGGTCTCTCTCCTGTATGCATCATCAAATGAACTTTTAAATTGTCATTCCTTTTAAATTTCTTTCCACAGTGTTCGCATTCATATGGTCTCTCTCCTGTATGCATCATCAAATGAACTTTTAAATTGTCATTCCTTTTAAATTTCTTTCCACAGTGTTCGCATTCATATGGTCTCTCTCCTGTATGCATCATCAAATGAACTTTTAAATTGTCATTCCTTTTAAATTTCTTTCCACAGTGTTCGCATTCATATGGTCTCTCTCCTGTATGCATCATCAAATGAACTTTTAAATTGTCATTCCTTTTAAATTTCTTTCCACAGTGTTCGCATTCATATGGTCTCTCTCCTGTATGCATCATCAAATGAACTTTTAAATTGTCATTCCTTTTAAATTTCTTTCCACAGTGTTCGCATTCATATGGTCTCTCTCCTGTATGCATCATCAAATGAACTTTTAAATTGTCATTCCTTTTAAATTTCTTTCCACAGTGTTCGCATTCATATGGTCTCTCTCCTGTATGCATCATCAAATGAACTTTTAAATTGTCATTCCTTTTAAATTTCTTTCCACAGTGTTCGCATTCATATGGTCTCTCTCCTGTATGCATCATCAAATGAACTTTTAAATTGTCATTCCTTTTAAATTTCTTTCCACAGTGTTCGCATTCATATGGTCTCTCTCCTGTATGCATCATCAAATGAACTTTTAAATTGTCATTCCTTTTAAATTTCTTTCCACAGTGTTCGCATTCATATGGTCTCTCTCCTGTATGCATCATCAAATGAACTTTTAAATTGTCATTCCTTTTAAATTTCTTTCCACAGTGTTCGCATTCATATGGTCTCTCTCCTGTATGCATCATCAAATGAACTTTTAAATTGTCATTCCTTTTAAATTTCTTTCCACAGTGTTCGCATTCATATGGTCTCTCTCCTGTATGCATCATCAAATGAACTTTTAAATTGTCATTCCTTTTAAATTTCTTTCCACAGTGTTCGCATTCATATGGTCTCTCTCCTGTATGCATCATCAAATGAACTTTTAAATTGTCATTCCTTTTAAATTTCTTTCCACAGTGTTCGCATTCATATGGTCTCTCTCCTGTATGCATCATCAAATGAACTTTTAAATTGTCATTCCTTTTAAATTTCTTTCCACAGTGTTCGCATTCATATGGTCTCTCTCCTGTATGCATCATCAAATGAACTTTTAAATTGTCATTCCTTTTAAATTTCTTTCCACAGTGTTCGCATTCATATGGTCTCTCTCCTGTATGCATCATCAAATGAACTTTTAAATTGTCATTCCTTTTAAATTTCTTTCCACAGTGTTCGCATTCATATGGTCTCTCTCCTGTATGCATCATCAAATGAACTTTTAAATTGTCATTCCTTTTAAATTTCTTTCCACAGTGTTCGCATTCATATGGTCTCTCTCCTGTATGCATCATCAAATGAACTTTTAAATTGTCATTCCTTTTAAATTTCTTTCCACAGTGTTCGCATTCATATGGTCTCTCTCCTGTATGCATCATCAAATGAACTTTTAAATTGTCATTCCTTTTAAATTTCTTTCCACAGTGTTCGCATTCATATGGTCTCTCTCCTGTATGCATCATCAAATGAACTTTTAAATTGTCATTCCTTTTAAATTTCTTTCCACAGTGTTCGCATTCATATGGTCTCTCTCCTGTATGCATCATCAAATGAACTTTTAAATTGTCATTCCTTTTAAATTTCTTTCCACAGTGTTCGCATTCATATGGTCTCTCTCCTGTATGCATCATCAAATGAACTTTTAAATTGTCATTCCTTTTAAATTTCTTTCCACAGTGTTCGCATT